GTCCAAATCACACTCCATTTAGATCCTGATGCTGTGCTGATTTGCTTTTTGGGAAGATAATGGGCAATTTGGTGATCTAAAGGCTTGATAAGGGTTCATCAAGTAAATTATCAAATGGATGTGGTTCTGTCCTCTCTAGAACAGCACAGCGTTGAGTTGTGTTCACCCCGTAAGTCAGCAGGGAATAGCTGTGGCAGACAGATGCGCATTAGCTCTGCGCATGGCTAGTTTTGACAGAGGATCACTTTCTAGTGACAGCCAGGATACCTTCTCTAAAGAAACTTTTTAAAAAGCATGGGCTTGCTGGTTGAAGAATTTATTTGGTTTACAAATGGTATCGCACTAAGAGGTGTCTTCCAGTATATGTGCGATCGGCTAGAATGTAGAAACGGGTGAGAAATCTCATCGCTTCTAATATAGCAAGTTTGACTAAATTGAAATAGTCCCTGTAGGAGGGGGAGGTGGGAATGTGTATGTAGATGAACTTCATAATATCTCCTACAGATTTTACAGGAAATAAAGTAATCTTCTTAAGCCTCTCTGCTTTCCTGTGCCACTGGTGCCAGGTGGCAAATAATGCCACGACCTTTGTCTGTGTTGGGGAGTTGCAGCAGAAGAGGCTGGTGCAGACTTCAGTTAATCAAAACTAATCCTCAAATTGGAAAATCTCTTCTGTGCTCTATGATATGAAGGTCAGGGCTGTTTTCAACGAATTAGATTAAAACTTGCAGCACAAGAGCAGGTACAATGCACGAACCAACTTTGAAGTTGAATCACAAACTGGCTCTTTCTGTGGCAATTTCATTTAATCTGTTTTGTGGTTTTTTTGGGTTGTGGTTTTTTTTTTTTTTCCTCATCATCCCTTCCTTTGGTGGTAGTTATGTTCCCACCTGACACAGGGTGGGGATTGGGGATGCACAAAAGTGGTGGAGAATGTGGATGAAACACTGATCCTTTTTTCTTAAGGATTCTGTGATTTTATTTTTTTTTAAAATTTAAAAAATCACTGACAAACTGCAACTTGGTAACATGTCTCAGTCTTCTTTTGTTTCCTTTTGGGGCTCTTCTGATTATGTCTGTAGATGCTCTTGGAGTAAGAAATCTTATTCCCATTACTAGAAGTGGCCCCACAATAGACCTGAGATCACAAGCACAGTGGTACATGTAAGATGTCTGGTTTTGAAAGTGCTTCTGCAGTGCCAAATCTTCAACCTGTGCCTCATCCTTTTAAATAGTCTCACCTCAAAGTCACTTCCTTTCTTTTCAGTGAGACTCTCTCCACTGTTTTTTGAGCCGTGGCCATCTCAGTGTGTGTGCTCTACCAAGACCTAGTCCACGTACCAGTTGGCTTTTTTTGAGCTGAACCAAGCGCATGGTACATGTGCTGGAGGAAAATGGAGACTCTTCGTTTACTGCTTTCCTTTAAAATTAAATGTCAGTATAATGAGGTTAATAATGGTTTGTGCCATTCTGCAAGATGCCATGGCTATGTCTGCATTAGCAAGTAGTGTGGTCCAAGAGAAGAGGTTTGTGGAAAGAGATAGTTAGCGCTGAGATCCTGATATTCATGGTCCAAGCATTTTGGAGGTGGTGGTGTGGTCACTTAGGACTAGCTCTAACTTAGTCCTATGGACTGAGTGCCCGTTGGTGGTTGAGGTGCATTGAGTTCACTCCTGGAGCACATCTGGTTTAGCTTCACCCAAAGTCCTTTAGTGATGTGAATCAGAACACACAAAGCAGGATGAAAGGGTGAGCTACTTCCAAAATGCATCCTGATAGGAATGAAGGTGCTAATACAGATGTGCTCGGTTGAGTTCTTTTGCAGGACAGTACTAAGCGCTGTGTGAGCTGTGCGTGTTTAAGCTCAGTGTGAGTAAGTGGTAACTAGTGAGCATGTCCATCATATTCCTGTGGGAAGAGGGAGAAACCGAAAGGGAACTGTGGCGAAGGGATGGTTTTCTCGAACAACTGCCGAAAATGTCAGCGCTGAGATTCTTATAAAATCTCATGGACCTGAAAATGTGGATGTTTTTTCAAGCACCTGCAGACTTTCTAGTGGTTCTGCATGAGCTTCTGTAGGTGAAGTGGCACCGTTTCCTCCACCTACTTGTGGCTGCGATTGCGAGATCAGGATGACATGATTTTAAGCCTCTATTTTTGGCAGTAGAGGCTTGAAGCTGTTGCGCGTTGCAGATTTCACCTTGCTTTTAGAGCACGTGGGAGCTTGCAAAGTAGGGGCCTCTAAAACTGTTCTGATGAGGGGCCGTTGGAAAGAGGTTGTACAAGACCTGGGCTAAATTCAAGATATTGTGCATATAGGTCAGATTCATGTAGGTTCAGATTCTGGTTCAGTTCATGCTGAATAGCATCAGTGGTGCTGAGATGTTCCCTGTTCTTCTGAAAGCCCACCCAGAACAGTGCTTGAACTTGCTGAAATATGTCAACCCTTGAAGAATTTGACTGGGTTTTCACAAAATCAGCCAAGCAAGTATATCTGGCAAGTGCACCGTCAAGGACAGACCAAAATAGCTGTTAGAGAGCTTGACACAAACTATGCTACTTGCATGTAAATGAGGGGGAAAAAATATTAAAAAAAAAAAAAAAAAAAAAAAAAAAAAAGCCCAAACATGTTCTGAAATGTTTTCCTTCGCTTGTTTACCAAATCAGTGTCATCTGGTGCATGAATACTGGCCAAGCTAATCCCATAATGACCTTTAAAGAGCTGGAGGATTTTTTTTGTCGCAATGTTGGTCCTCAGCACTTGAGAGACTTTAAACCTCACTTGCCTTGCAAAAACCTGTCCAGTTAACTGATTCAGCAGTGTTGATGATAGGTGCAAGGAGGTGTTAGCCCCAAATGGAGGGGAAAAAAACAGCAAACAGTAGGGAAAGAAAGTGAGGTTTGAAAGCCTGGAGATCTGCAGGCTGGAAGGCAACCAGGAGAAAATAGTCATAGTCTGCTGAAAGAGTTAGCAATCACTTCCTCCTGGGGAATTTTGGTGGGATGGCGTGAAGGTGTGAGTGGGTTTTGGTTTGGGTGTTTATATAATCCAGATGTTCCATGGGTAGATTTTAATCTGAAACTTCTTGCTTGGACAGGGTTGGCTCGGCTGTGCAGTGGTGGTTGGTGTGGAGGAGGTTCATCATGGAGAGATGTTGCACTCTTGCTGCTGCTTTGGGGACTGGGGAAGGCTGGTGGGGGCTATGGAGCTGACATAGATGCCATGGCTGGCATCTTCCTACCAAAGATGGGGTGTTTTGTGGGGGAAAAGCCCCATTCCAACCTCAGCGCTTTCCCTTCAGGAGCTCACCTGTGTGTATAGGTGCAGACCTGTGGATGAGGTGGGGAGATGATGGTCTTTAAGCTCATAGCAGAGCAGTTTGGCCATGTGGTTTTGTATGTACTCAGTAGGTGCGCTGTAGAAGTCCCTTCGTGTACTGCCTTCTGGTTCCTTTTGCCCCATTTATCTGGAACACAAATCCCCACATGGGAATCAGGCACCTGGTGATACTGAGGTTTGATTGAAGTTGGATAACAAACTTGAGCTGAGTTGAAGAGAAGTTTTAACCATAACCCCTGGCCAAGAATTGGGAATTTCTATCAGAAAACATCATTTTTGGTGCAGCAAAAATTAAATAATTCCAACCCTTTTTATTGCTTTCTTTTTCTTTTGGCACTTTTTATGAGATGGAGCATACAAGGAAGAGCTGTATCACAAGATTGGTATCCAGGGCGATGCATGATGAAACACAGTCTGTACACAGTTAAGTAAATAGCTTCAGTGCTTAAGATGGAAAGGGAAGGCAAAGAAAGTAGTGGGGTTTTTTATATCACCAAAACAGTGTTTATATTGGTTACATTGTTTTGCATAATTGAAAAGCCATGAGACAGTTCACTAGAGAAAAGGGCATTTTCAAGAGAGATTAATGGTGTGCTCAGGGTCTAGAAGGAAATTATAGTAGTAGAGCTGCTCATACACTTTTTCAATTTTCATCCCTCCTTGCTCATTCTGGGAAGGGAGGATTAATTTGAGTATTTTCCATAACAAATTTATTTCAGTGTTTTGTTCCGAACAGACTGGATGCTAGTTGAAATGGAAACATATGTGGACTATTTAATGCCTGCAGAATAAAACCAACAAGGAAATGGTGCTAGTTAGGGACAGTTTTCTTGCAACACTGTTCTCTTCGTGGATGTCCTTGTGGTTTAGGATTTTACCCATGCTATTGGAGTGGGGCACTGAACAGATGTCTTAGGGATTTTTATTTGGGGACACACACACACAGGTGGGAGTGGGGTGGAGTATTAGTTGAAACATTCACCAAAACTGAATGTTGGTGCAAATATCTTTCATCTGATGCTGGTGTGGTCTCTCCTCCTGCCATATTACTTGCAAAACACTTGCATATGTGGTGGTGATGGGTATAAATGTTGCGGATGGGTGGCTTGGCTCTGCAGGATCTGAGTGCCCTGGGGGAAGGAGTAAGGGTTCATGTGTCTGTGTAGCAGTAGCATCCCTAACCTGCTGCGTAGTCTTTGCCATGTGATAACTACTCAGTCATTTAGGCTGAACCCATGGCAGAGTAAGATGCCAAGTTGCATCTCTCACATGTGAATGGAAAATGTATTTAAACAATTGCCTCAAAAAAATGCAAACAAACCAAAACAGCCCCAAAACCCCAACAAAAAAAAAAAGAAAAACAAAACCCAAACCAGCTCTGTATCCAGAAATGCTTCCTCGTTCCACATGCCCTGAGAGCTGGAGAAATGTTGTTCCAGCTTCTACATAACATGAATCTACATAAGTGACCCCTCTGCCCAGAGCGGGGGACCAGGGTTGCATCTTCCACCTCCCCCAAGGTAGAAAGGTCTGAAATCTGCCCTTGGAAATGGCTAGTTACTCCGTCCAATCTCAACTGCTTCTAGATGAGATGTGGGACAGGATGAGACACTGGCCCTGAAACAGGATAGTGTTAACGCTCTTCTCTTTCCATCCACAGTGGGAGCGCCTCTGGTTCCTCATCCTCACCTCGTCCTTCTTCCTGACCCTGGTCTGGTTTTACTTCTGGTGGGAAATTCACAACGACTACAATGAAATCAACTGGTGAGTAGAGTTTCCCCATTGCGGAGGGAACAAATCTGGCTGCCATCATATGCCTCTAAGAGCTGTTTGACGCTGGGTTGGATGCATTTGGGTCCTTCGGATGGACCTGTTAATGACAGTAAAGGCAACACCATGCAACGCTACAGGCTTGGGGAGGAGTGGCTGGAGAGCGGCCTGGAGGAAAAGGACCTGGGGGTGTTGGTTGACAGCTGCCTGAACATGAGCCAGCAGTGTGCTCAGGTGGCCAAGAGGGCCAATGGCATCCTGGCTTGTATCAGGACTAGTGTGGCCAGCAGGACCAGGGAGGTGATGGTGCCCCTGTACTGGGCACTGGTGAGGCTGCCCCTCGAGTACTGTGTTCAGTTTTGGGCCCCTCACCCCAAGAAGGCCGTGGAGAGGCTGGAGCATGGCCAGAGCAGGGCAGCGAGGCTGGGGCAGGGGCTGGAGCACAAGGCTGGGGAGGAGCGGCTGGGGGAGCTGGGGGGGCTCAGCCTGGAGAAGAGGAGGCTGAGGGGAGCCCTCATCGCTCTCTGCAACTGCCTGAAAGGAGGCTGGAGCTGGGGGGGGTCGGTCTCTTCTCCCCAGGAACAAGCGATGGGACGAGAGGGAACGGCCTCAAGCTGCGCCAGGGCAGGTTTGGGTTGGGTATTAGGAAAAACTTCTTCCCCGAAAGGGCTGTCAGGCCCTGGCCCAGGCTGCCCAGGGAAGTGGTTGAGTCCCCATCCCTGGAGGTATTTAAAAGACGGGTAGACGTGGTGCTTAGGGACATGGTTTAGTGGTGGCCTTGGCAGTGATAGGTTAATGGTTGGACTCGAGGATCTTAAGGGTCTTTTTCCAACCTTAACGATTCGGTGATTCTAAGTGGGAAGTGAGACTGAAGTAGAGCTGCTTCTGCCTGTCTTCACTGATAGATGTAATGTGTCCTCACGCATCTCTGTTGTGTGGCTGTAACGGAGCTTGGGGTAGGTGTGCTCCCTTGTGAACGGCATGTGAGAAAAAAAGATGGTGCTGAAATCATGTGGAAACTTTTTGGTTGTTTTTTTGTTTGTTTGTTTCTGTGGTTGGCTGTTTTTGGAAGTGGCTGAGCAATTTGGCTGCAACTTTCCACAAAATATAAATGACAAAATTTCAGCCTGAAGCAGACATGGGTGTGGAAAATTTTGCAAAGTTGGAAGGAGCTGAAAACAAGCTTTCCAGTGGGATGTGCTGGTGAATTTAGGGTGTTGCCAGCTCCCCCCAGTGCTGAAAATTGTTCTTCCTTTTACTATCTCAGCAGCATCTTAAAACACTTTGACGGTACCTTTGGCTCTCTTCTAACCAAACTGCTTTGACATCATCTTCTTGTGAAAGATAATATGTACGCTGTATTATAGAACACAGTGGGTAGTTGATCCCTTAAATGAATCACCTGCTTTAGATGTTGGAGTTGTGTGAGGGAAAGTGTTTACTAACTTAATGGTGTGAGTTGTCTCCTCCCAGGAGTGTGTGTTTTTTTTCTCTTTGCTCAGACCCACGCGCTGAGAACTGAAACCATCACCATTGCTCTTGATTATTTATAATACTAGCATTAAAAAAATGCCTTTTTTTAAGGGTATCTTGGAAATCCTCTTTCTTTCAGTTTATGTTTAGTAAAGGATGTGAATGCTTCTAGTCAGCTCCAGTGCGAAGCCAAATCTGTCTTAGCTCAAAGTTGAGAAAGGGCTAAAAAAAATCATGCAAAGATGAAGCAAAGCCCTGGGAATGCTGTGAATGGGCTTTGCAGCCACGGTGCTGCAAAGTTTGGGGTTTCTAAATATTCTTGCAGGAATGGAAGGAGATGTGCAGGTCTGCTCTGGATGCAAGAGATATTTGGGCTTTAAAATGCCCACATATCACCTGCAGACCAAAGCCCCTTCCCCTGCCATGCAACCCAGTGTGCACAGGGTGCTAGAAGCACTTCTGGATTGACAGCACTGGAGAAACAAGCCCTCTTGTGCACAACAATCATGGAAGAGGCTCTCTGGATGCGAAATAGCAGGGCTACATCTGTTCAAGCATTGTCATTCAGTGCTGAAAATGGGTCGGTGCTTTGTATGTGCTGTAACCCCAATTAGATCCCTGCTCCGCGCACTGGCATGAGAGGTGGAGAACAGCAGCGTTTCTGAAAAACAGCCTGAAAGGCTGGGAGGGAGAATGATAACATGGGGTGAGGTTTTAATTACAGCCATGGTGGTTCCAGGCAGAGAGGAAACAATTTCCACTGGGTCCATTCAGAGCCTGGCCCTCTTCCTTCCCAGTGCAGATGCGTGGGCTCCATTAAAACAGAACAGTTTTCAGCCAGATGGGATGTAATGGAGATGAAAGCATCATTTTGGACCTGACAGAGCTCTGAGCCTGTTGCTGATGAGATACAGTGGGGTCCTGGCTCTCAGAAACCCCGTCTTTGCTGTTCCTCAGTGGCTATATCACTTCTGGGCTGTATTTGTGGACAGTGTTTCTTTGATACTTGTTCCTGTTGCCTTCCTTTCTGCTCCACTGATTTATTTGCAAGCCATGACCTCTCTCAGCCTCGATGAAGGTCTTTTTGGGGCAAACACCATCTCTGTACAGGACCTAGCACACCAAGCTACTGGCAGGGGCTTTCTGGAGGCACTGGGATAAAGAATTGCTGTGGCATTGGTGATGAGCTGCTGAGCTTGTTCCTGCCCTCCAAAGACCATCCTTGTGAGCTCTTCTTCCTCACGTCATGTGCAGGCAACAACGCTGAACTTTTGACCTGTCCCATCGTAGCAGGTGAAGAAAGACTGGAGGCATCTGTCCAACCAGCCCCTCAAAGGAGGACTATTGCTAGCCGTAGACCAAGTTGACTGAAGTCTTGAAACCCCAAGGTTGAAGACTTCTCCCCTCTCTGGGACTTGTTCCAGCACTGCACCACCCTCTGTGAGGAGAAGATTTTTTCCAACCCAAACCTCTAAGGGTCATTTCCCCTCGTGACAGTGTCTGTCACCCTTGAAGAGTGTGATTTCATCATCTTTGTAACTGTCTGTCAGACAGTGTAGGCAGCAATTAGATCATCTCATAGCTTCTCCTCTGTGAGACTAAACAAATCCAGCTTCCTCGAGCTTTCCTAGTAATCTGTGTTCCCTGGGTGCCTCACCATCTTGGTTTGGTACTTCTGCATTGGACTCCCTACACATCCTCCTTGAACTGTCCAAAGAAAGGCAATGAAGCTGTGAAAGGTCTGGAGCACAAGTCTCAAGAGGAGCGGCTGAGGGAACTGGGGTTGATTGAGGCTGAGGGGGGACCTTATTGCTCTCTACAACTGCCTGAAAGGAGGCTGGAGCCAGGTGGGGGTCGGTCTCTTCTCCCAAGTAACAAGTGATAGGACAAGAGGAAACGGCCTCAAGTTGTGCAAGGGGAGGTTTAGATTGGATACTAAGAAAAACTTCTTCGCCAAAAGGATTGTTAAGCACTGGAAGAGGCTGCCCGGGGAGGTGGTGGTGTCCCCCTCCCTGGAGGTATTTTAAAAGCTGGGGAGATGTGGTGCTTAGGGACATGGTTTAGTGGTGGACTTGATAGTGTTGTGTTAATGGTTGGCCTTTATGATCTTAAAGGTCTTTTCCAGCCTAAATGATTCTATGACTCTAACTCGGAGGCCCAAACCAGGGCACGGAGGTGCTGGTGCCACCTCACCAGTGCTGAGCAGAGGGGAGAGCAACTTCCCTTGGTCTGCTGGTGACAGTTCTCTAAATGCTACCCACTAGTTGGTTTGACTTATTCACAGTGGAGATATCCTGTTGGCTGATTCAACCTCATGTCCTCCATAACCCCAGATCCTTCTCAACAGGGTTATTGGCATGCTAATGTAAAGCCCCATCATTCTAGTTGAAACTAGAATGCACTGCAATACCTCTGTTCTGTGGGTTTTTTTGTTAAAATGGTACTTGAAACTTGTTTCTTAACCCAGATGTGCAGAGCATAGCTAAATGCTGCTGAGCAGCTGCCAGAGGTGACTTAAGAGGTAGCAGAAACCTACAGATTAGCATAGCAAACCCTGCCCGTAGTTCAGGCATGTTTGGGGTCCAGCAGTGGATGCCCCTATCTATGTAAAACCAAACTGACCTAATTAAATTGTGGCAGTGATAGGGTTTACCTACATAAATGTGGGTATTTGGCCTTTAGACTTGTAAAGACTTCAGGGACTATTCTGAGATTGAAATGGGCTTTAGAAAGACAAGGCAAAATTATAGCCCAGCATGTATTGCTTGCAGGCTTTTAACTGTTTTCTGCAAGGCTGAATATGCAATGAGGTCCTTGTCAGTGAAAGGGCTTTGTGCCTTTTAAATTTAAGTAAATATTTTTTTTTTAATTTATCGCTTTGGGCATTTGCCTCTTTGGTGTCTATGCTTAATTGCATTATACTTCAGATCTCCAGTGTGCAAGCTATATACTGCAACAGAAAGCTCAATGTTGGTTAATGAAGGATGTGGAAGATGCTGTAATTTGTGAACCTGGCTGTGTTCCCTCTGGAGCAGGACTAATAAATGCAAGACTGTGTAGACAATATTTTCTTCCTTAGTTCTGGAGAAGGCTCATCTGGTTCATAACTACCATGGAAACAGCATTTTAAAACAGTCATTTGCACATCAAGTGAAGACCTGACACTGTCAGAGGGACACTTGAGGGGATATCAGAGCAAAAACTTAACTGTACCGAAGCTGAGCTAAGGAAGCTCTTGGTGGTGGCATGAGCAAAGACTTCAGAGGAGCCCTCTTTTCTTTTTTCCCTCTTTTTTTTTTTTTATTAACAGCATGTCTGAATCTCTCCATATCCCTTTTGTTATGGCTCTTTGAATCCCTGAACAGAACCCGGACATTTGTCATGTTTGTTGAGCCCAATGACTTGCTCTCCAGATCCTATGTGGGAGCTTTACTCCTGGACAGAATGGATGGGGCAGTTGTCGAGCCAGAGTTTGGCTGATGAATGATGCTGGATTTGAGTGGTGGGGAGGAGGTCAAGTCTTTGACCTGCTTGCATGCAGCATTTTGTCTGTTGTAACCAAAAAAAGCAATGAAAAACCCTGGGTCCTAGTCTTGGTCAGTTTATTGAATGAGCTGATGAGTAGGGCTGAGGAAGGCCAGTGGGACCATTTGATCTGAGCCCCATGCTGTCAGATGTTGGAGAAGCCCAGTGTCTACTGTGTTATGGGATCCTTTAATACAGTGAAGTCTGTCTCAACTCAGCCTTCTGGAGTCTCTGCTCAGGTGTGTTCTGAATCTGGTTGCTCCTCTTCAGCAGAACTCGGTCCTGAGATTGGCAGGTCAGGATGGGCTTCCTGTGGTCCTGTGTTCAGAAGTGCATAGGAGATCACAGCACCTAGGCATGGAGATAAAGTTAACCCCAATCCAAGTCAACCTAGTGGTGTTTTTTCTAAAAAGTGTTAATCTGAGTCAGGCTTGAACTCTCAGAAGTTGTGAGAAGGTTTCTGGGATTTGGCTATCTCTGTCCTGGTGTGGTGGGACCTGGGTCTCCTGCATTTCTGGCCAGGGATAGTTGACTGAGTCTATCTTGTGTCTTGCTGTGGTTTTGCTGTAATGTGCTTTAATGACTCTCGAATCCAACTCCAGGACAGTTTTACTGGGAAGCATATTGCTATTTAAATGCCAATTTGACATTTGAGACCCACTGCTAGGCAGAAGGGACAGTGTCTCTTACCATGCTGCTGCTATCAATAATGGTCTGCTTCACCTGGTGCTCCTCTTCATAAAGCTTTCGCTGCCCATTGGCTTCATGAAAATGATGAGGAGAGGCAGGATGCTGAGCTGAATCTGTCCTCTGAAATACAGGGTTGGAAAACCTGATAACTGAGAGTGGGGAGGATACCTGGGTAAATAGAGGAGAGGAGGGAAGAAAAATCAGCTTCCGCAGGAGGGTG